TCGATTCGTGGATAGCCTCAAAAGATGACCAGTTTTTTCGACGCGGGATTCGTACGCTACTCGAAAGATGGGAGAAAGTAGTGGCCAGCGATGGACAATACTTTGAATCATAAATGTATAACCAGTTTTTTACAATAAAGCCTCGAATTTCGGAAAAAAAAACGGCAGAAGTAAAGTTGTACACCTAATATTATAGATATAGATAGTTTTTTAAATATTTAATTGATAATTTTTCGTAAAATAGAAGATTTATAATTGTGGAAATTTTAATAATTCTAAATATAGATAATATTATTAATAAAAAAAATATGCATAATAAAGTAGTATTATTATATATGGATAGATGTAAAGATTAAAAATGTTTGAAAATATTTTTTTCATTTAGGTTAGACTATTAATAAATTTTTATTAATAATATTAGAATTTATAAAAGATAAGTAAAAAAAATGGCTAATGAAATAATTAGAAATGTGAGATCTTATTGTCAATATAAGTATGAGAGTATGTTTATAAAAAATGTTAATATAAATAATGTAAATAAATTTTAAATAATAATTTTAAATAAATAATAGTTATTTTTTATATTTGAAATTAGTCTAGTAAAATATAAGATGATTAATAATGGAGTTAATCCAGCTTTCATATGTACATTCTGTGCAAAGTGTCTGAAGTCTGTTTTACAAGTGCATTTGTGCACATGTTTCTTGTTATTTTTTACATTTTATCTTTTTGCCTCTTATCTCATTTTTCGTTTTTTATCGCCCGATAAGTAATAATAAATTTCGGAGGAAACAAGAAATACATGGCAAGAAATATTAGGTGTAGTAAAAAGAAATCCATTATTTTTCCATTCAATTTCATGCAAAAATAATGGATTTCTTTTTACTACACCTAATATGATTGTCATCAATAAAACAGTCAATAAACAAGAGATAAAGAGAGAAGAAAACAAGAGATAAAGAGCAAGAAAAATGAAACAAAGAATACGTTGTAGAATAGGCTTAAACCTATGCGATATCCTGACTATATAACCTCTAATCTCTGAAGAGCACTTGGAATCTTATAATACTTAATAAAAATACTTAAAAGAATTTTATTATAGTGTTTTAAAAAGCTCTTCGGGGTAAGCTACTAGAGTATGTAATGAAAAATGGAAAGCTCCATTTTAAAAAATTCAAAGTGACCTTGCCATCTAAAGTCAAACCATGGTACCTTCTTAGATTTTCCTTGAAATTATATAAAACTTTTGTCTATAACATTTTTCCCTAAAATACTGTTCAAGAGATATTTGAAGTGGATAATTAAAATGGGACATCTTATATTTATCTTTCTCATTTTAAGTGCAAAATTTTTCGGAAATTTCAAGCAACGCGAATAAATCATATGTACGTACCCACTTTTACTTTAATTGATAGCGCTATTGTGTGGACATCAATCAGAAGGAATCTAACGATTTCTAGGAACTTTATCTTGTGCCGACGCTTAACAAAATTGACATGTTTATAAAGACTGCATAATTCATTGTATTTATATAAACAATGACATTAACATATCATAAAACGTGTATATAGCAATTATATGAACCAGTTTACCACATTTTATTAAGATTTGACAATCGGAATAATCTTCGGATATATTAATATTAATATATTGTGATAAATTAGTTATGCAATTAGCACATAAACTTCTATTACTAGACCATACCAAACTGATTATTTCGTTACCATGTTTGATGCCAAGCCAAAGATATAGAAAATGCACTGCGAACTATATTTAATGGCGAATTCAATTGGAAAAACTAGTACATATTAAAGCCATTGTACACTGATTTAATTTGAGTATAAAAGTGAAGTGCAAATATTTCGAATTATAAAATACACATTTTATCTAATACAATAAAATGTATCAAATATTCAGGATTTAATCGATTTCTATGTTTATGTATAAACATATCTTTACGTTATTTTGTGTACGACGGCTTTTATGTGCGCTCAATCGAATTCGCTATAAATAGTATTCAAATCAACAATAATGAGGGAGAGGAACCAAAAGATGAACAAAAGATGATCTTTCTCTCATTCTCTCTCCCATTGCACTGTTGAATGGAAAGAGATACAGATTGATCTGCCCTCTTTCTTTCTGATAAAAACTTATGTTGTTTCATCAAATAGACTACGGTTTACTTGATGCTACAAATGTTTTCAAACAAAATGTTTTTTGATTAGTTAATTAATGAAATTTTTTCTTCTTCAGTCAAATGTTTCCAAAGCGTTTGTAGCGTCAAGTGGACTGCATCCTAAGACATATACTGGTTCTGTCGATTCAAAAGTGGTGATTTCAATATTAACGACAAAAGCTGGTGTAAAAATGTAGATTTGCAAGCATTATTGAATAAAAATCTAACACTATCCACTTCAGAACTAGCCAGAGAATTAAATGTTGATCGTACAACAGTTATTAAATGTTTACATATACATTGTGTTACGATATATTGTTTAAATAAATGTTTTTGAGAAAAATCTTCAAAGTAAATCACATTCCTAATATAAAGTTGTCGCTTAATAGTTCACAAAAGCGTCATCACGTTCAATCTTTTTTGAAACGGTGGTTTGAGCGGCTCCTTAAGAAAAATGCATCTTAAGACTCCTGAGTAGTCGCGGCGGCATAGACGACAAATGACACATTAATTTATGCTGCATGCCATTTGTAAATAAAGACATTTGGACAAATCTAAATGACGAGATCGCTTTAAAATACTAAATAAAAATGGACAAAAATTGTCTCTTTCTCCCTTGATAGTCAATAAATAGTCGTAAAAGGTAGGTAAAATGAGCCTACATTCGGGCAGAATATGGTTTAACAGTTGTTAAAATAAGTGAAATATACGCTTTTATGTATAAAATTCTAAGATAGTTTCTGCCCATTTTTAGGACTTTTATAAATACGAAACAAGTCACATTTTCACAATTAAGCAAATAATAACGAAATGGCATGCACAAATTTCATCATTAAAATCACTTTTCCACATCTCTAAGTTTAGCCATTTATCGTAGCGAGGCACTGTAACACACGCACGCATGCACACATAAATACTAGCCCATGTACATACATGTGTTCGCTTTCGGCGCGTCGAGAATACATGTACATACATGTGCTCGTGCTTGTGTGTGGCTATCGATTTCGCCACGAGGTCACCATTCTAATTCTGTATCGCTGTCGTCAACGAGAGTTCTTGGCTGAATACTCAGGAGCCTTAATGCATAATATATAAGAAAAGTAATCCATTTAATCTTTTCTTTCATGAAATGAAGAACTCTGAGTTAAACTCTTAGTTAATTCTTTTATATTTTATGTATTATGCGTTATCCAAAAGTCTGTACCAATCTTACATATACATAAGCATGAGTGACCGACAGAGACTTCTCAGTATTATTTTTGTTTTTTTTTTTCTATCATTAGTCTGTTTTCTGTTCTTGCACTAAACTGTAACTCTCTTTCTCACTTTCGACAAGTATCAAACATATACCTATCTCACTTCAAGTTCCAAAAGTGTATACTAGTTCAGCTATAGAAAACAGATCTCATATATAAAATAATCGAAGTCAGCAATCTAGTTATAGAAGTTTATGGCAATTAGTCATCGTAATGTTCTAAGACTTTTTTCCGAGCGCCTTCTGTGTTAGCTCTGTCTTCTTTTGTTGCGCCATTTCTTTTTGCTTTTTCTCTTCTTCTCGTCGTTTTGCCGCCTCTTCTCGTTGCTGTTTAATTATAGCCAATCGTGCTAGGTCCGCTCGAGCTTCATCCGTTTTACCGGCTGCGTGTAATTTTTGATAATTCACATAGGCTCTTTGTTTTTCCAATTGTTCCCTGAAAATTAGAATCACATAAATCAATTTTCAATATTGATGAGACTGATATAAGTGATAAGATATGATCGTAAGGATAGATTTTCAAAAAATATCATCAAAACATTATGATTACAATCAAATCATACACATACCGCTCTCTTCGAGATAGTTCTGGTTTTGCAGTGTCTAACGACTGATTCAGTTGAGATAATTTTTTTGTTTTCTTTTGTACCCTGTTTGGATTTTCTACTTGAATTAAATTCTCTACACCTTTTGCTTTTCCTCCCTACAAGAACAGAATAATTAATGAAATAAATTAGAACACAATACTTTATTTATGTAACTGTGTACAAAAGATCTTTTTTAATCTTGCGCATACACACGTATATAGATACCTCTGTTTCCGATTCTGATTCTGACTCACTGTTGCTATCTGTGGTGCTACTTTTTGACCTATTGGCTCCACTCGTTTTAGTCTCCTCATCATCTTCTTCCTCACTCGAACTCTCCTGCCCTTTATTTTTCTGTAAAATAAAGGAAAATTAACTTGGTTTTCAGTAGAATATAATGTAAAAGACAATAAATAAGTTTATTCTTACCTAGGAATAAAATTCACTTACAAGGAAATGCTCCCAGATTTTCTCTCCGATTTTAATTTCGTGGGTTTGTAGAGGAGAAATATTTGATGCGTATTTTTTTATCGGCAATTAAACTAAATATTCAAGGAGAAATTAATTCTCGAAAAGAGTGACCAAATTTATGTTTTTTGGCTGTAATGTTTTTCGAACGAAGCATGACAGTGTAATTTTGTAAAGGTATAAAATGTATATATGTATGTATTTCAAGAGGACATACGCTGAATTGCGGGAATAATCCCCAGAACGTCTCTCTCCGGAGCCGCGTCATGATACGACATCCATCTCCTGCTTACGTGCGAATTTGAGAGTGCCACATAAATGCACCTGGTTAATTTTTACATCAGTGGATAGATATTAAAATTCTATATATTTTATATATTTACGAAATTACACTATTATACTTTGCTCAGAAGAGAACGTTCCAAATTGTAAAAGTGATAAAAAAATTAACATTATCAGTCAAGAGATCACGTTTGAAATAATTATTCTGGCTAATGCTGATCGGAGGAGACCTCTCCGATTTTGACCTTGATGTATTATGTTGTTAAAGTTACATGATCTTGAGTGATTTTTAAGATGTGATTTTTAGCTGTCGCTTGTTATTCATTAAGAAGTTATTAATAAAAAAAGATTAAGAAATAAGAAATAATGTCTTATTTCTGCTATACGCAATATTAAAAACTACTCCATGTGCTCTCTCTTGAGGGATGTTGGATTTTCTATGCAAAGCAAATTCCACCTTATCTCTCCTCCCTGTCTAGGAGCTCACGATTTCCACACGAAGCGAATTGCATCCGATCTCCCCCTTTGCCTAGAGTCGCACGAGACAAGGGAATGGATTTTGTTTCGCGTGGAAAGTCTGAGACTTTCTCCTAGATAGGTCGAGAGTGCGGAGTAGTTCTTAATATTGTACAAAGCAGAAATAGGATGTTATTTCTTAAACTTTTTTATTAATAACTTTTTAACGGATAACGAACCATGCCTAAAACTTCTTGGAGGTTATTCGAGGTCATCGGAGCGATCTCTCCTGATCAGTATATTTATCAATTTAAACACAATATCTCAGGAATAATGCATTTTTGGAAGAGGGGAAAAAACGTTTCAAATAAAATTTAAAGAGGGCCATCAGGTGAGCTATTTATTTTGAAATTTCGAGACTAATAAAAAATTCAATCTGTGGGTTTTATTATAATAAATATTTAAAAAAAAAATGCATTGCTCTCGAGATATTTTGTGTCCAAATTGTGGCCAAACATATTTTTGCTCAACTGGGATACAGAATCCATAGGATTCCAAGATTTTATTTCCTAGAATACCTATTTCAAATGTGTTCTTTTGACGTTAGTTTTTTTTTATATCACTTTTTACAATTTGGAGCATTCTCTTGTCAGAAGCCGAAAGATTGATTCTGAGAACTATATAACGGGAGTGTTTTTTGTCGTAGTAAAGAGTAGAACGGTCAGAGAGCCGAGCTTCGAAGGGTTCGGATTTGAAAGCAACAAAATTTGTTCGTGAACATTTGTTCAAAAATTTTCATTACTCAGAAAATAGAGATATATATATTTTGGCAAATTTGGAAAGATACATTCAGTAGGATTTCACCCTTTAAATATGTTTGACTGCTAATAAAAAAGTACGTATCGAATATTTTTACTCCTTCTACAAGTCAATCGATTTTCACTATCAGACAGGGACATCTGTCAGGGATAGGGTACTTGTTATAGAATAAATCGGAATAATTCTGATTGTATATGTGAAATTATTTATTCACTTCCTAGATTTTTATTGTGTTTCCTAGGAACAACGGAATAATTCCGATTAGAATCCGAACAATTCTATGATATATGCTCTGGGAGCTTTTCCATATTACTATAATAATTTTTATATTTTAATTTGCTATATTAAATATTCTATATCAGTTATAAATAAACAGGATGTCAACTAATTTAAGAATGAATTTTATCCTAATAGAAAAATATTTATGAAATTATATATCTTGCATAAAATTTGTAATCTGCAATTATATGTATAGATACATTAAAAAAAATAAAAGTAGAAATCCGTTATAAAACATTCAAAAAGTTTTATGGCATTTATTGTCCATTGAAAAATTATTAGCAAAAAAACATGTGTGTGTATTTCACACACACACACACACACGCGCGCGCGCGCGCGCACGCACACGTACAAACAAGGTGTACAAAAGTCTCTCTTCAAATGTTTTGAAAAGTAAGCATTTTTGAGAAAAATGTTTTCAGATAAAAATTATAGGATTTAAAAAGATGTATTTACTGATCACATCCGTTTGATTTTAGGTAGCGCCAAGGTAAGATCAAATCGATTTTTTTAAACCTCATACTCTATTTTTGATGCCAGAAACATCCAATAGCTGATGTCAAGAGCTTTTCAAAACACTATAACAAAATTAACTGACGCGTCGATTGGACGAATAATGCTAATATCGATAGTACTGTAAATTCCAAATTTTATAATTTGAAAAGTACTTGAAAAATAATTTTATTATAATGTTTTAAAAAGCTCTTAACATTAAGCTATTAGGTTCTGGCATCAAAAATAGGGTATGCTGTTTAAAAAAAACGATTTGATCTGACCTTGTCAGATCGATGTCATCCAAAATCAAACGGATGTGATTAGTGAATAGATCTTTTTAAACTCTATAACTTTTGTCTGAAACATTTTTCTCAAAAATGTTTACTTTTCAAGATATTTCAAGACTTTTTGTACATACCGCATATATAGAGTGGACTATTTTAATTTATCCAGTTGATTTTCTCAAAATCTATAAGTTACAGGCAAAAATGTTTGAAACAAAAATTTTATTGCTTCAAGGGGGAAAATTTGTTGTACGACAAAAATACAAATAAAATAGCATCCTACCAAGTGTAAGGCCAATATTATGTGCGTCTGTTTTTTTTGTCACGACAAATTTTTCAAGTTGTATTGGCTGCAAGACAGAGGATCTTAGGCCTCTTTGTTCTATAACTAATCGACAGACTTGAAAAATTTGTTTTATGATAAATGCCTAATTTATGTCTTGATTTTAATCCTAAAATCCTAAAATTCAGCCAATGGATTACAAATTTCAGTTAAGACCAATTAAAAAACTGGTAACCCTATTGGATAAATTTTAGGATGAATTTAAGATTAAAATAGAAGCATAAACTAAGCAAAAAATGGATTCATGTAAGGGTAATAGAGAGATCCGAAGATTTCTCCATTCTGTAGACATTTGTCCTATGATAAATTTTTCAAGTGTGTTAATTGGCAAGATAGAGAGGATCTCGGATTTTTTTTATTGTATAGTCAATTAACAGGTTTGAAAAATTTATCATACGACAAAAAAACAGATCCAGTAATATTGGTCCAATATTGAGTTAAAAGAGATCAATATCTATACTAAATAGTTTCGTATCAATTAACCTAAAAATACTAACTCTCCACTGTTGCTTTTTTTCTTCCTGGCGCCGTTGCTCCTCTAATTCTTCTGGATTTGTGAAGTGCCTGTTCCTGCCTTTGTGATTTACGAATTTTCCTGCGCGATAAAGAGCGATTAGTAACGAAGAATACAGAAATCATTTTCCTCAAAGGAACGCGGAACATGAGATGAATTAAGAAGAGACTAGAAAGGAGCACATGTAAAAGAATACTTACCTCGCGGCATCGTAGTTCGTAATAATAGCGCAAATCACAGTAATGATTAAAAATCGTAAGAACTATGAAAATTTCCGATCCGCAGATTATATATGTCACATTACCAAAAGAAATACGAATTTCATAAGCCGCCTTATTGAACTACATCAAAGATCCACTGAGCTAAACCATAGTCGGAGAGAAACCTGAGAGAGGCTATGCCGGTCTTTTTCCTATTATCACCGAAATCGCCCGTACATTACCGCCAGTACATCCATTTTCGGTTTGGCAACTACATCTATTTTTTAATACTGTCGATAAAATCGTATCGTCAAAAGTGGATGTGGTTCATATCTGTACTACATCCACATATGTAGTTGTAAAAAGTGAAATTGAAGTTTTTTTTCAAGTGAAGTCACTTTTTTATTTATTATATAAATTTAATGATCGTTTTTATCTCGGATCGTAGAAATTTTGTTGTAAAACCATATCACAAGGAAGTAAATTTATAAGAAAAACACTCTACCAATAGAATGAGCATTCAGAAAGTCATTAAATATGGAACAATGGAGAATAAGTTGAATCCTCAAAAAGGATTCTCTATAATGATTTTTTAATCATATAGGATTTCAGTTTTAACAGATAAGATTTTTTACTATTTTTATACACATATATGAAAGATTTTATAAACTTTTAGTTATATATGATATATTCTATGACTAATTAAGTTAAAGATATTAAGCGTATTAAAATTGTAGAAAAAATATTACAAAATTCATGAATTCATTTTTTTTAGATATTAAAAAAGGATATAAATTGGAACAATCAATGATTAATTTTGACTGATAAGATAATCGTCTGAATGTTGTTATATAAGCTAAATGTTAATGCGATATGAAGTCGAAATTATTGAGTGATCATGTTAATTTGCTTTTTTTAATCACTTACTCTTCTCTTCGGTCTTTGGGAGCATTTTCTTTATTATTAAGCTGTGCACTCTGTTTGTATATTGAAGTAAACTTGTTTAAAACCAACAAGGGCTACAGTAAAATCTTATCATTGACGAAGAAAAATGATTATGAACATGCTTTTCTCCTATCAATACAAAAAAAGAATTTTATTATAAATTTACTTGTATATTTACGATATTGTGTTAGATTTTCAATAATATATTGTATTATTTTTTCACTGCTTAAATTGAAAATTATTGAAAGATATATTTCGTATAATATTGCATAATGAATATCATTTTTTTAAAAACTTTATTAATATCTAACATATACATTGTGATTATATGATATTAATTAATGACATGTTCATATCAATCACATCTACAGAGAAAGTCTAGAAGTAGTATATATTAATGTGAATTTTGATTGAATATATTCATGTTTGGTTTTCTAATAATTTCTAATAAGCGTTTTTGTAAAAAGAAAGTAAAAATGAAGCATCCTTTCAAAGTAAAACTTTAATAAATTTATTGCAGTAATATTTCTTGATAAGAGTTTAATTTTTATATTTTTTCGCTTCTCTTTTATGTTCTCAAACATTTTTAGTATTTGTTCAGTTATATTTCATTTAAGGATGGAATAAAAATGAATCGAGAATACAAATTTAATTAGAAGGCAGGATTGACAAAAGACTACTTTTTTGTTTTGACTTAGCCAGTGATCAAAACTGGTTTTAACCGGTCAAAATTGATTCTAATCATTAATTAAAGTGTATTTTTGTTTTTAAAGGTTTTTTTATTTTTATTTTGATCGCAAACTCATCAGATGTCTTATGTATATACGATAGTTTCCAGCTTTAATTTTTTTGCTTCTCGCCTTGAATGCTGTGTCCCAATATCCACTGCTAGTATTAAAGATCTATAGTGTATGTAACGTATACTATAAATTTTCAATATTGGCAGTGAATATCGGAACGTAGCCATAATAGTATAGTGTCAGTCATCAATCAATTGTTAGACGAATCACTTTTTCACGTATGTGCATTTGTGTAGCAACACTATACTCATGGACTCTTAAAATTCTGTTAAAGCTTTATTTTGACGTTTCTGTGAAAATATTACTTTTTTGGAAAATGAATATGAATTATAGAGCAATATAGAAATTTTAAAAAGATTATAGATTCTCATTACCTGCCTTAATCTTTTTGCTGCCAGAATTAGGTTGAAAATGTATAGACCTTTTAAAAATATGTATTATTTTGTTTTTATATATGCAATAACAATAATTCATTTTGTTTCAACTTATTATTTAATATCTAATAAAATGTTTTTCTGAATTAGATCTAATTTTTATTCTTTTATCTTATTTTAATTCTGGACTTAGCTTAAAAACTATGTTATAATGGCTATGTTTCAAAATTGATTGCCAGTATTGAAAATCCATAGTGCACGTAATGTAAATTGTAGTATTTTCAGCGCTGGTAGTAAATTTTGACACAATAACAGCAAAATAAAATTTACATTTTGATCAGAGAGAGAGAGAGAGAGAGAGAGAGAGAGAGAGAGAGAGGGGGGGGGGGAATAAGAACCTAAAATCAATTTTGACCAAGACAGTTAAAATCGCATTATCCAATTTGTGCCAACTATGTAATAGAAGATTGCTTTTGCGAATGAATGATGACCAAATAAAATGTTAATAATCTGAGATGACTAAATTAATTTATTGTTTGGCCAATGTTTCCGCTTTTGTTACTACTTCCTCAATTGGACCAACCATGTAAAATGCTACTTCCGGTAAGTGATCCAATTCTCCAGTCAAAATCTTCTGGAATCCTTTGATAGTTTCTTCTAATGGTACTAGTTTGCCGGCATGACCAGTGAACACCTCAGCGACCTAAAATATTATAATCGACTTTTTAATACACATCACATTGAATAAAGTACTGAATTTAGGTAAAGTCTAAAAAAAATTTAGATAAATTAAATTATTATTATATTACATTGCGTCAGATGTGTTCAAGATTTCAATCCCACCATATATAAAATATGCCAATTGGGGGAGAGCTCTCTGATGATCTGGACTTTGACATATGTTGTCAAGGATCTGACCCTGAGTGACCTCTAAGAGATTTTAACCGTTGCTTGTTATCCATTAAAAAGTTATTAATAAATAATTAAATTAATTAAAAAATTTTTTTTTCGTTGAAAAATTCTCAGACAAATGTACATACATTTTGCAGCAACTTTATGTTTACATTAGAATCATTCAATGCGTAATAGATGAGCTGATTGTGATTTGAAATATTACAGCCGTATTAAATAAATCAGAAATCGAAATATCATGACGCAAGAATCATAAAATAATCGATAATAATCTAAAATTTTTTGAAGGTCATTGAGAGTTATGATCTTGACAACATATGTCAAAGTCAAGGTGTCATCAGTGCGATGTCTGTTAATTCGAATAATTATCAAAATGACATCGATTCATTCTCTCTATTAATTTTAACGTATGCCTACATGTTTTCATGTAATTTAATTAATTTTTATACTTTTATCATTCTTCAAGTTTTTTTACTACAATAATTATTAAAAAATAAATAACTGATAAGTAATAAGTAGTAATGTTGATATATTGTATAAAAGATTGTCATATTACAAATAGTAATGATTATTTATTATGAATGAAACTCATTTTCATTATCGTAGCAGCCGTATTGAAACAAAATCTGCCGAAAAATTGCGGAATAAAAAGTCAAGCTCTAATGGGTGTAGTAATTAAATATGCACACCTTATTTACTTGAATCCTAGAGTTGTCACAGAAAATGAAATTTTAAATTCCCTGACCTTTCCAGTTTTCCAGATGAAAATGAAAAATTTTCCATGACCAATTTAAAATATGTAAATTTTAAAAAATCAAGGATTCTACGAAAGATAATAGGAATACTAGCTTATATTATTCAAAAAGTAACGCAAAAGAAGCTTAGTAGCATAATAAAATTTTGCGTGCAAATTCAAACCAACAAAAAATAAATTAGTATTGTAAATTTGTATTATTAAAAAGGAGCACAGTTATAACGATCAAATAAAAATACTGTATAAAATATAAATTATTATAAAATTTTAATTATTTTATTAAAATTGTTAAAGTGAGCGAGTTTTGAACATATTTGCCCATAAATAATAATAAATTTATCAGATATAATACTTAAAAAATTTTAACGATTATTTGGAATAGGAATAGTTTAAAGAAATTGTGAGGAAATTTCAAAATTTTATTTTTACATTTTCTCCTGACTTTTCTCGACTTTCCACGACCAATTTCAATTTCCCTGACTTTTCTCAGTTTTCAGATCTGTGGCAATCCTGTCTATCACTTGTTATACCATCATGTCTGAGTGTGTGAAATATCATATCCGTTAGTAATTGCTATTAAAAGTTATTATAGCCTCGATATTTTCGTCTCAGAAATCGCCCGTCTTTTAAAAAGACAGGAGGTAATTGTGGGACTCGTTCGCTCGCCCGCCTTCCGCACGCACGCACGCACATACGTGATTTCTGAATCACAAATAATATGGCAATTTCTGTCATTTTTCGTGTATCAACTGTCTGGATATCTAAGGTTTGAACGACCTTTGTCTGCATTCTTCTGTATGTGCTCATAACGATTGTATAACGAGTTACAAAAAGTTACGTAGATATTTTATATAACAAAACAGCTGTGCATCTGTCGTTAATGAATACATACAATTACAGAATACAAGCCCTCTTTATATCTGTTCATGTATTATTGGCTAGTTCTCCTGTTCTATGAGCCTCTTTCACCAACTTCTGATTAAATTAATTGATCAAAAGCACTCGCAGAAGTGCCAACAACAATTTAATGTATCAGAACGTTTCCTTTCTCTTCTTCTGTATTTAGTTCTCACGTTGACAATCGTGGATAGAATTAATCGATTAATCGGGGTTAGTGAAAGAGAGTATATAACGTCTTTGTACTCGCAACGCTATGACATAATATAATTATGTCATTCTTGTTTAACATTTATTTATTTCAAATGTTAAAGCGCAATTGATGTTTGAGAGTATTATGAAAGAAGCCAAGACTACTTAAACATTCAACACACCTACAATGTATCATGTTTTCTCTCACCTGGAATGGCTGGGACAAAAACCTTTGGATTTTACGCGCACGTGCAACTGTCAGCTTGTCTTCCTCTGACAATTCATCCATACCCAAAATTGCAATGATATCCTGTAGCGACTTATAATCTTGTAGGATCTTCTGTACACCACGGGCGATATTATAATGTTCTGTGCCGATAACATTGGGATCCATGATACGGGATGTGGAGTCAAGAGGATCGACAGCTGGATAAATACCTACATGCCAAATACATACTCAAAGAATTATTGACTGTGATACAATAGATAATTTTCAGATAGCAAATTCAATCTTGCATTACACTAAATTAGTACATATTAAAAAACAGGGTTGGAAAGTAATTAGTTATTTATAACTAACAACTTGTTACAGTTAGAATTACTTTTTTTTTTCAATAACTTTAACTTAATTTTGTTTCTTCTTTTTCAACTGTAATTGCAACTTAACTTAATTATATTTCTTTTAATAACTAGTATCTATTTCAGTTATTTTTACAGTTATTTTACATGTTTTAAACTTTATTTGTCAATTTAATATAATTGGTTAGAATCTGAATAATTGCGTTACTGCTGCTACTAGTTGTGTAGAAGACAATGGCAGAGACAAATAGTCCCGAAGACAAATAGTAATTTAAGACAAATAGTAATTTGTTCATTGTTAATGTCCACCGTTTCTTTATCTCTAAAGGTCATCTATGCAATGGGAATAATAAGATGTGGCAAATCGTAAGAAATTGACTAATTACAGTTAAATGTGAGGATAATCGATTATGATTCACTGCTTATTACGTTATATTATTCCCATTGTTGACAGATCATAAATTGAGTCTAAAATGAGCTGAGTACTTCATACTTAATGATTTCTTTAATAAATTTTTTTAATAGATACTTATTGAACATCAAAATTTAATTGTGATATTATTTTAGTAGTTTATTTGCGTTTTTAAGTCGGAAAATTTCGGCGCGCAGTTCAAAATGATTACAAATACGTATGTATGTATGCATGTATCATGAAGTAAGAAGGGAGGAGATTCAACTTGATACCGCGTGAGAAAAAAAAGTGGATTGGTTTGGGCGCCGAATTGAAAGGGAGCCTGCTGAAAAGAATAACTTACTAATTTAGACGCCACTTGTAAAAAAATCAGTCAGCTGTTCCAATTGTACAGGCACATATTTGTTTCTTCGATTTGTGCTTTTAATTGTGAGGAAGTTTTTTTTTATTCGGATACTTTCAAATCATGTTCATTTTCATTTAATAAAATACAACAGCATTACATACAGTTTCAGACATTACAGATGACTTTACCGTATCTTTACAATTATAAAAAATATTGTGCAAGAAATTTAAACAGGTTATTTCTCTTTTCTGAAGCATCTTTTTTTTCTTTCTTTACATCCACGAATCCAACATGACATCTTTGCAATTTCATTATTGTAACGCACAAAGATATAAAACACAGGGTTGGGAGACATCAATAAAGCTGGCAAATAAAGTGAGATAAGATTGATATTACAAATGGCGTCTAAATTGGCAAGTTATTCTTTTCCTTCCAATTCGGCGCCAAAACCAATCCCATTTTTCTTCACAGAGTTTTCCTCTCCTCTTACTTCGTGGAATACATGTATACAGGGTGAGGAAAAGGTATGGAAACTCTTAAAAAATCTCAAAAAATATAAGTTTTACAGAAAAACGTTTCAAATGAAAGTTGTAGGATTTAAAAAGGACTATTCAATAATCTTATCAGTTTGACCCTGGCTGGCATCGTTGAGATCAAATCAAAGTCACCTTGAATTTTTTAAACGGAACATCTATTTTTTATTGCACATTCTTATAGTCCTTCACCTTTTGAAAGCACTATAATTTCATTTATTTTGGATCAGCCGTTTCAAAGTTATTAAGTTGAGTATTTTACAGTAAGAAGATAGACATCCGAAGATAAGGTCGGAATATGATTCAGCCAACTAAGGCAAGGTCGGAGGATGATCCAGCCAACTAAGGCAAGGTCAGAGGATGATCTATCTTTAAATTTATAATAAAAATTTATAATAAATTTTCAAAATGTTTACCATTCACAACTTGACAGTGTGCTAGCCGATTGTAAAATCCTGAAACAGCGTTCCTGATGTAATCCCTGGGAATGAACACAGCTTCATCAAGGATTCGGTGACGTAAATCATGTATATTGTCGTATAAACTTTACTTTTCAGGTAGCCCCATAGAAAACAATCGAGAGATGAAAGGTCTGGCGATTGAGCTGGCCACTCAATTGGACCTCTCCTCCCTATCGTTCAATGAAGACTTCGTTTAAATAATAATGGATATTTCTTCCATAATGTGGAGCAGCATCATACTGTACTAAGTGTTCTCAATATTTTCATCAACTATAGTCCTCGCAGAAACTATTTGGTTTCTCATATCCTCGTATATTGCAGTATTTAAATTCCCTTCAATAAAGAATAGACCTATCAAAATATTATTTAAGATGCCCAAACATTTACTTTCTGCTGATATTGAGTATGAAATTCCAATGAGGATTTGTATCCGATCAAAATCTACAATTATCGATTGACATTACCGTTAACTAAGTTGAAACATTGCTTCGTTTGGAAAAAAAAAAAAAAAAAAAAAAAAAAAAAAAAAAAAAAAAAAAAGTTATAAACAAAATCAGGTTCTGCATCTATTTTTTCCATCATTCACAAAACTTTAGACGTCGATTAAAATCATCTTCATTTAGCTCTTGTACTAGATGAATTTTATATGGATGGAACTTATTCTGTTTTAATATTTTACACACCGACTTCTGATCTATTTGATGTTCTTGAGCTGTTCTGCGAGTAGAAATATGTGGATTCTCCACAAAAGATTGCAAAATATCCAATGACTTTTCGAGATTTGTTGCTGTTTTTGAACGATTTTTAACACCATCAATTTCTTCGAAACGTCTGATAAATCTTTTGTGAACCGTAGATTTCGAGATACTTATATTTTCATTCCGAAATGTTGCATTGAAGAGCTGCTTAACATCATTGTATGACCTTAGTCTGTCTCCCCATTCTCTCATCATTAAAAGAGATATTCGTTCAGTATGTGCAGCATTTTAAAAGCAACTAATAATGAGCAACCATGAAAACAATTGAGAGTGAGCAGCCGTGAAAACAACTGAGAGTGAGCAGCCGTGAAAACAACTGATAGTGAGTAGCCATGAAAACAACTGAGAATGAGCAGCTGTGAAAACAACTGAGAATGAGTAACCGCGAAAACAACTGAGAGTGAGCAGCCGTGAAAACGACTGAGAGTGAATATGATCCGGTCAACTAAGGAAAGATGAAGGATGATCTAACAGTTTAGATCATCCTTCGATCTTGCCTTAGTTGGCTGGATCATATTCCGACCTTGTCTTCGGGTGTCTATTACTTCTTACTATAAAATACTTAATAATTTTGAAACGGCTGACCCAAAATGAATAAAATTGTAGTGCTTTGGAAAGATATTGAGAAGGATTAGAAGAATAAAAATGCAATAAAAAATAGAATGGTCCATTTAAAAAATTCAAGGTGACTTGACCTCAACGACATCAGCTAAGGTCAAATGATGAGACTATTGAATAGACCTTTTTAAATCCTACAACTTTTATTTGAAACTTTTTTCTATAAAACTTATTATTTTTTGAGATTTTTCAAAGTTTCCATACTTTTTCTTCACTCTGTATATAAAATATATACAAGGTGTCTGGAAATAATCGCCAAATATTTCATGGACAGGTAGAGCGGACTAAACTGAGTCAAAAAGTCCTCTACTATTTTATAAATTTCCCCAATTAATGAAATATTAATCCTTAGAGATAGCTGAATACGCTCGCCTGGCCTACTATTGCGAAGTGTATATGCCTACCGATCACTTGGCGCGCGGGTCTTGGGAGTTGGGGATTGGCTGGCAAGCGCCTCGCGCCGCGCACACCACTGTAAGTCTTCATAGCTCAGACGGCGCGCTTGCCAGGCTATCCCTGTTTCCCACTGTAGAAATTCACATTGAATTACTGAAGCATCAAAAATCCAACTTCAACCATAATGGACCCTTAAATCATATATTACTAGACAGAGTATATGCCCATATTCATAGTCAGGCTTTATATTTAAGGCTTCTTTAAATTTATCTTCAGATACGAATTCTGTATGAATTATTTCACTGGCTGCTGAGCATCTAAAGATAAATTTAAGGAAGGCTTAAGTAGGTCTGACTATGAATACAGGCAATAGTCTCTTGAAAGTGAAGCCGAGTAGGATGACAAAGAAGAATAGATAATGATCATAATTGGTAATGCGCATGACTGTAGAGAGATACGCGCGCAAACGAATTACACACAGCTACCAGCTACAGCACATCTGATATATGAAATTAAAATTAAGGTGTCATTAAAATAAGAAGAATAAGAATTGATATACTTATAGAGAAGACATACTTATTATCACTTATTTATAATAATTAAAGATTACGATACCTAATCTCCAAACTAACATTACAAATTCCGTATATTAATACTATATTCACAAATAATTAAACACATATGTAGTAACGCCTGATCTTCTTCTTTGCAAACATAGCAATGCATTGTCATTTATAATTTTCACTCATAGAACCAAACATAATTCACGAATAAATGTGCTTTCTAGGATATGGTCAAAGCGATGTTGCAAAATTAAAAAACGCTTTAAAGCGTTTTTTAATTGATCAGTTTGTAAAATTCTTTCTTCTAATTTGGTCCATTAAACGCTTCAAAACATTTATAGCGAGACTTTATAGCGAGACCACAGCCCTAGTTTGTGATGAACAGTACACTTTATTTAACTTGAACATTCCGCGCACGCACGTATCTAATTGTATGGAGCATGCAAATTACAACGATCATCATCTCTCCTTATCAATCTTCTCGATTTCAGCCGAATGTACAAGGATTATAGGTCTTTGTTCTATCTAGTAATATATGGTCTAATGAGCCTTTAATTTCTATTTCTTATTAAAAGATAAACAGTGAAAAAGTTTTAATTTATCTAATTATTTTAGAAATATTATAATATCGCTTTGGTTAAAATGAGAGTAAAATACATAATAAAATTTAAGCCATTTTCACAATTTTAAAAAGAGTTTTTAATATTAAGTAAGAAATCGACCGATGAGATTATACACATGAATGAAACGCCATATTCAAGGCAGTTCTTCTGCCTAATCATTTTTCTTATGAATAATTTTTTTTCTTTATATAATCTCTCATATAAGAGATTCGAATATCTATGAGATATTATTTTTCGCAATAAATTATTTACAGCTTTTAAGATGCTTACTGGCATCAAATCGTTAATTATTTATAACTTTCTAAAATCTTGTAACAATAATATTGAATTACTTGTCAATTTCATTTGTAATATTATTACTCAGTTTCGATTTAGGACGATGTTTCAAAACTGACAAATAATCAGTGCACAGTTAGCTTGAACTGAAATTGTATAATTTATAAAAAAATTATTAGACACAAAGAATCACTTTAATCGAATATAGTTTCTCATTCATAAAAGATTTTTAAATATTTTTTTCGTGCATTACTCATTTTTTACTTATTTATACATTTTTCACTTTTTACTTTCTCTAAAATTTTCGCAGCATACCCGTGTACCATGACACAATGATAGTCTAGAGAAATTAGACAAAAATATGACAAATTTGCAGAAAAATTAGCAGCTAGCTAAATTTTTTAATAGTTTATTTCGTCGTTCTAAACAATATTTCAAAAGTCTCTATCATTGTGATCCTGCTTAGAATTTTATAGAGTCAAAAGTAAAAAAAAGAACAGTTTTTCGCGAATATTTCAAAATTTATTGTTCTATAGCAAAAATAATCATTACGATATTTGTAGATTAAAAAATGTGTTCTCTACGAAAAAAGATTTTACGAGCTTTTTTTGTAGGAGCAATTTTTTTTGTGTATTAACGGCTTCGAAGTTTGAAGAATCATACTCCTGAAAGATAATGCACTCTTTTCCACATCATCTCAAAGTAGAATATTAGTATTTCTTTTAAATGGTCAAACTTCAAAACCGTAGCAGAAAAATTGCTTTTTTTCTACTTTTGACTCTCTTATAAAATTTTAAATAGAGGTCACATCGATAGAGACGAGACATTTAGAATGATGGAATAAAGGTTCATGCAACAATTTAGCTAGCTGCTAATTTTTTCGCAGAAAAATTCTAATTGCTCTAGATTATGGTTGAAAAATTTTATTTAAACGGTTAAATATCTAATAATGTTTTCAAGGTTGTACAGAATATATATATATTATTTCATTATCAAAGTTAATTTCATCATGTTACTGTATTTAGATGTATACTAATCCAATGTAATGCGAATAGTATAATTTAGAGATACATACCTAATTCAGCAATGGCACGTGACAATACGGTTGTAGCGTCCAAGTGAGCAAAAGTGGTAGCAGGAGCAGGATCTGTTAAGTCATCAGCAGGTACATAAATGGCTTGAACAGAGGTGATAGATCCCTTTGTCGTCGTGGTAATACGTTCTTGCATAGTACCCATATCAGTAGCCAATGTAGGTTGATAGCCCACAGCAGATGGAATACGACCCAACAAAGCAGATACCTAAAAACATGTATCATATACAAAGTGACAAAAAGTTCCAGACCGATGAAGCATTTCAAAAATAAGATATTTGAAAAAAATATTTTATAGAAAAATGTAGGATTTCAATGCATCAAATAATGGTACCCAGTTAAATAGTATCACATACATTACGATGAATTCATTCGTGTACGCTCACGCCTGCCCTCTAAGAGATAGACATCATCTGCACCGTGGTGTTTTCGCCTCGAGGTCTCGAGTTGCGTTAGCAATATAGTAGTACTACATATATACAAACGATATCTATCTCTCACTTAGATAGTACTTAAAATCTTCAATACGCATGCGTGTATTGAAGATAGTCAATAGTACAAATATGTTGGTTAATACAATACACGCAATGTGCGTTTCCTAACCAATTTTATCTGCATGTATGGAAGTGAGAAGTCCGATCTCTTATTCTCTATTGTCTTCGCATACCTCCCACTTCCAAAAAAAGGCTATGCTAGCAATATAGGAGTATTACATATATGGCAAGACGTACAATTTGACATATTGACATATCATAATTATATAATGCAATAAGAGATATAACTTCTATATTCACTATAGCACTACTTTTTTATAATTTCTATACCAAAGGTATAGTAGGAATAGAATACGCAGACATATTATTACGCTTTTAACCATGTTGAACCATTTCATTCTTATTGTTTATAAAAAAGCAAAGATAACTAATGGTAGCGAGCATTATGATGATGTCAAGTAGAACACAGTTCTAATAAAACATGAAAAGTGTCATATCATTGTTTTTTTAATACTTTCAATATCAGTATGCATTACTATTATATATTCTGAAAAAAATGTATATTTATTGAAAAAATTCTATATAATCACTTTTTTTAGATCTAAATCCTAAAATTTCAAAGTGAAATTTTTCCATGATCTTGATGTTTCCTTATTCCTAAGATAAGTAATATGCCATTTAAATCCGCTTGAAATTTAATATCCTTTATTAAATAAATTATTTTTATTTACCTCGGAACCAGCCTGAGTAAACCTGAAGATGTTATCAATGAATAATAGTACATCCTGACCTTCCTGATCACGGAAGTACTCAGCGACGGTGAGACCAGTGAGAGCTACGCGAGCACGGGCGCCAGGTGGTTCATTCATCTGCCCATAAACTAATGCTACTTTAGAAGTCTTGTCCTTGAGAGAAATTACACCAGATTCGATCATCTCATGATAGAGATCGTTACCCTCGCGCGTTCTTTCACCCACGCCAGCAAACACTGAATAACCACCATGAGCCTTGGCCACATTGTTGATTAATTCCATGATAAGTACAGTTTTTCCGACTCCGGCACCACCAAATAGACCTGTTATGTTAAAGTATTTCATAATATTAAGATAATTAATAATTCCAATAATATTATTAAACAAAACCAATTGAATTTTATGTTTTCAAAGCTCTAATACTATCGCAAATTATGTACTATCGCAAATCATACCAATCTTTCCACCCTTAGCATAGGGAGCCAGCAAATCCACGACTTTGATGCCAGTGACTAGAATTTCTTGTTCAACGGACATCTCTACAAATTCAGGAGCATCTGCATGAATAGGGGCCAACTTATCTGTGGGAATAGGTCCACGTTCATCAATGGGTTCACCAATTACATTGATGATACGACCTAAGGTTTCGGCTCCCACAGGAATACGAATAGGGAATCCAGAGTCTAACACATTTTGACCACGTACCAAACCCTCCGTACCTATAACAGTAAGAGTGATTTATTATTGAATCGACAAAATCACTTATATTTATACTTATATTTATGCACAAAAAATCTATAATTAAGCAATATCATCAATTTTGATCTGTTTATATAAAAGTTACTAGCAAAAACATTCAGCTTGGTAGCCTTCGTAGCCTTTTTATATTATTAGTTTATTTTTAAATAAATATATGTTCAAAAATAGGACCGATAAGACTATTTAATTAAATATGAAAAATACCTATTTTTGTTTGAAGCGAATTTTACAAGTAACACTATCCAATTGTCACTCACCAATTTGGAAGTGTGCAATCACTATACACACTTGTTTAACATCGAAAAATATCGAAGTCGTGTTTTTCTATTTTTCCCCAAAATGAATTTTAAGAGTTGAAACTATCCCTTAACCATCGCTAAAAATGTGTCTTGCCAAGAATTAGATCCAAGCATATAGATGGCAACGAAATATGTTTCCGACAAAAGTTGTAGAGTTAATAAAGAACTATGTAATGATGTCCTTTATACATTTATTCCGTGCTGCTTCATTAAATCCTCATTTTCATCTTATTTTTGCTATTTTTTGAAGTTAGCATTGAAAAAATCAACTTGACCTCCAAACAACCTTGATAAATTAACCTCCGAAAATCAAGGTAAGGTTTTAACCCTTAAAATTAATTTTGAAAAAAAATAGAAAAACATAGGTTTAATATTTTATAATGTTAAACAAATGTGCATAGTTTCATCCAGATTGGTAAGTGATAGTTGGATAGTATTACTTGTTAGTGCTATTTTAGATCTATAATTAAATTTATATAAATCTCTTACATATTGCGAAAAATAATATACACAAAATATTACCATCCATAGCAATGGTGCGCACTGTATTTTCTCCAAGATGTTGGGCGACTTCGAGTACCAGTCTAGGTGTACGATTCTGTACCTCCAAAGCGTTAAGTATAGGTGGGAGAGCATCATCGAATTGTACATCAACAACAGCACCAATGACAGCAACTACCTTTCCTTGTGCACCACCTTTGGAAGCAACAGCTGCGGCTTTGGCAGCATAATCTCTTTCTATTTAAGATAATTAAATTTTATATTTAAACCTCAACAAATTTATATATAATTATATACATGTAAAAAGAAATTGTGTACACTCATCCAAAAAATAAAAAAAAAATCTACCAATTTTTGTTAAGTTTTTGTGAGATATGTTAAAATTCAGTGATAATTATAGCAGCAGTGATAATTAATAATTACATAATATATTTTAGACAAACAGGTGCTTTTCAATATTTAACACATCTTGACACAAACGTATACAGAAATGCATAAAGTATATAGCATTGTGCATGATTCAGATTTGGATCATCAGATTTGGAACAGAACGTGTATGCTGTGTATAGTTTCAATTTGTTTCAAATAGAATTAGAATTAGTTTCAAATATAGCTTTTTCCATTGTATCCTAATTTATATCAAGCTTGGTACGCATAGACAGTAGTAACTTTATATTAAATTATCTTAATTTCGGATTTTAAATCAATACAAAGAATGGTGTATTGACTAGTATAATATGCACTTATATGATTAATTAGTGTATATGTCATATCGTGTATATGTTTACACACATCGCTGAAATTAAGATAATTTAATAGATAATTTAAACGCGAAAATTTGCATTAGTTCTGCGAGCTTGATCTTTGAATCCAGATGCTCGATTAACTCTCGAAATGTTAATATCAAACGCAGAGATAATGTAGCAGAAAGGTGCGAGTTGCCGAACGATTTTCGAGATGAAAGAATAAATAAATGCCTCCAACTTGCAAAATCAAACACAGATAAAATACAATTGATTAAATACTTTTCTTTGGAATAAGTAATGCTCAAATTATTGCTAAGAAAAGATCAGAGGGTCAATCATGTAAAAAAAAACATCTGTTCACCTTGCATGAAATCATCAAATATTTTTGCACTTAAAATGAGATACATATTTTGTCTTAAAAAAAAAAAGAAAGCGAAGATGTCGAGTGCCAAAAGTGCAAGTAACGTGAAGAGACCTATTTTTTTCTTAGAGTAAAATAATGAAAAAAAAAAAAATATATATATATATACACACACACACACACATACATATATAAAAATTTTCATTTATCACGTTTCCGCCTTAGAGAAAATGTTACATGATCGATATCTAGATTTTAATGTTCTACAAAATATTCTAGAATAACACTTTCAGATAAAAACATTTTCTCATGTGAATCATATGAATTAACTCCATCTATAGATATATGTTTCCATAAATAAGTACATTAAATGTTTTTATTTGTTCTAAAAGAAGTTAATTTCAATGTACTCCAAAAACTTTGCGACATTGCAAACTCGAGAAATATGTTATGTAACATGAAAACATATATATAACCATCAAAATTAATTCTTTGAAACCTTTACAAAATAATTTTTATATATATTTCGAAATATGCTCTTTAAAATATAATTAAATAGAAAAAAATATTGAAGAAAAGAACAGCAATCCACAATTGTTTCGAAATAATTGTCAAACAAATTATAAAAACAAACATTTTATATAATGAAATATTTCTCCCCGATCAAGACACTAAGAAATACACCATTTATAATCACACTGAACATTTACCTGCAGAATTTTATGAACGGGATAAAAGAACAAGTTAAAAGAACAAGTCGCCATATTGTTAAATGGAATTCACACCAATCGATTACCGATTATATAACCAACAAATAATTTTTTTCAAATGGTCCATAAGAAATTCAGTATATATCGATTGTCATGAACGAGATAATTGTTGATAATTCTGAATTATCGATTTCACATAGAATATTATAAAAATAAATCCAAACAAATATTTCAACAAAGTATGTCACGCCAATTGCCGATTATTCCATTAGTAAATCGAAAAATATGTACTCACTGTTGATAGCGAGGACGCCTGATACTTTAGCGATTTCATTTTGCAAAAGGGAAGGTTTAATAACTCTCAAGGAGGCAGGAACTGCTTTCGTTACAGCGTTTAAGATCATTTTCGATCGACTAACAAAAGACCATCGAATACTACTGTGCCGATCAGTGTGGTCTGATCGCCCGATGTGATCACTGTGGGCAGCAATGTTGCCAAATGCTTTTATCACCCTAGAGCGACCTGGGATTCTTTCAAACTTCACTAAAGCTTATTGCCCAATTTACATCAGCTGTGTTCCAAAATTTACTGCCACTAAAAATCTATAGTTTACGTACGTGCACTATAGATTTTCAGTACTGATAGGAAATTTTGGAACAGAGCCATCGTGTACTTGATACGGGTAGAGTTCTACATTTATAAGCACGGAGGAGAAATAAGAAGAAGACCAAGCTTGAGGTCTGAAAATAGGCTTGAATTCAAAACACGGTGTCGGAAAACCCATGGAAAATCGGACTGATTTTAATGTCTTGCGAGAAAGGTTGAAAGTATTAACTGTCACGTGGTCAAATTAGAGCACTATTGCCCGTATTCATAGTCAGGCCTTATATTTAAGGCCTTTCCTTAAATTTATCTTCAGATACTCTATGAATTATTTCATTGGCTATTGAGCATCATAAAGATAAATTTAAGGTAGCCTTAAGTACAAAGTTTGACTATGAATACAGGCATATGAGGCTGCGTTCCCATTTTGTTTCAGTGCAGTATCCAATAGCTTTGTGATATTGTACCGGAAAAGCATTCTCAAATGACTGGATACTGGCTAGTGACATTGCATCACGTTTATCAGACAGTTTTAGATTATGAGAGAATACGTGTGAGAAGCTGCAATGTGTAATGTCATTAGCCAATATCCAATCATTTGGGAACTTCTCCATATAATATCTAACAAATTGGCAGCTACTAGATACTGCACTGAAATGAAATAGGAATACAGTCTATGGCCTAGTTTCCACTGAACAGCCAATGAAATAATTCATACAGTATCTAAAAATAAATTTAAGGAAGCTTTAAATATAAGATCTGATTATGAATATGGGCACATATGATATATATATATATATATATCATAGGCCTAGTTTCCACCGAGAGTTTAAACCGGACCAGAATATAAGAACCAACTATAGTCGAGCATTCCACCGTCGTTCGTATATACTGTAGTTAGTTGATTCTTACATTCTGATCCGGCTTAAATTCTCTTCTTGTTGAGCATCTAAAGATAAATTTAAGGAAGTTCTAAGTACAAGGTCTGACTGGATGTTTTCCAACAACGTACACAGATAACACTGTATCTTACACAAAGTGTTTCAACTATAACAGTGTTACACTGCTCGATACAGTAAAAAGCTAAGGACGAGCGTGTAAAATATGTCAATGTTATCAACTTTTCAAAAAGTTATTTGATAGCTGTACTTATTTTGCAATAAAATCTTCAAAAATCGTCAATTTTGAAAAAATTATAACTTAAGTCTAAATAAAAATCATAAATTATAAGAATAGAATGGAAGACTGCAATGCATTCTGGTATTACACTATGAAACTGCGTTCCAACAAGTACTTTTACAGTGGAACACAGTCTCTGTGTCCTAGTTGGAAAACAGCCACTATGAATACGGGCATAGGACTCTAGATTCTGGTAGAGCACCTGCGACTTGCGACGTCTACGTTATGACCAATGTAGATTAGGCTTAAAACAAGCAGCAGCAGCAATAGCAATTCTAAAAACTTCTATTAACCTCGCCTTATTTTATTTTTACTAAATTTGTTAAATTTATTAAAGTACCACGCGGAGTGGTACAAGACTCTACATTTTGCTTCCAATCGGAGGTTTTTATCGACAAAAAAATTTTTTACAAAAAAAAAAATTTTGACAGTACTACTTATTTCGTCATATTGTGTTTACAAAGATCGAGAAGCAGAAATGGAATCTACGTCTAGTAAAGTGAGTATCATCACGATTTATTAAATTTTTTTTTAATTCTCACACAATATTTATCACTACATTATGTTGAGTACTTATTATATTACTTACACTATTTGTATTTTTATTTAGTGTAATATAATACTTTTTCTAACATTATCTCTAAAATGGTGAATTTCTTTATTCATTCCTCAAATTATTTTTTTTTAGTTTTTAACAATTTTTTAGAATTTATTTTAACATTAATGTTATTACTTATTAATCTTTTATCTAACATAAGGAAGAAACAATAATAATGAAATTGATATATAGAACAATTGATAGTTTTTAATGGGAAATTATAATTATAGGATGAACAGAATAATCAGGAAGATTCAGACTCTTCAGAAATGGATGAGACAGAACCTAGATTAAAATATGTTAGAATACGTAATGATTTGGAACATATTCTGCAAAATGATGCAGCTAGCTGCATTGCTGTACATCCAAAAGTAAGAATCATCTATGAGTAATGTAGAATTTTTATTTTTAAGTATATTAAATTTTTTAATAGTAATTAGTTGAACTTAGTTTCCTTACCTCCGATATTGATAAAATTAGATTCAAAATTAGATTTTGAACGAATCTGGAGAAAAGAATTGCTGTGTCCTGTGAACCAAGATATTGATTGTTAAAGTTGATAGATATTCAGGTTAGAAAATCTGTCACATTGATGATATAGATTGTTACACAAATTCTCTGTTTTATAAATACAAATTCTTTACTTTAAAAACAAATTCTCTGCTTAAAAAATATAAATTTTCTACTTTGGAAACATAAATTATTTTCTATATAATTTTTGATTTTACAATAGAGAATTTGTTTTTAAAGCAGACATACCTAACCAAGACAAATTCTCTGTTGTAAAACAAAAATTATATAAAAAATAATTTGTGTTTTTAAAACACAAAACAGGGAATTTATAGTTTTAAAAGAATTTGTGCTTTTAAAGCAGAAAATTTGTTTTTAAAGCAAGAAATTTGCGTAATTGAAGTAAAAATACTTCTTCTAACCTTTCAATTCTCATATTCTTCTATGCGACAGATTTCCTAAACTGAATAGTCGTCAACTGTAATGATTAATACCTCAGTCCAGTAGGACTGAGCAACACCTTTTTTTGCCAGATTCGTTTCATTTCGTGCAAAAACGCGTGATGATCCTAATTTTATTAATCATTGATAAGAAGACTAAACTCGACAATTATCTTATTATAACTTTATGGATATGGATAAAAAGGATATTGATTTTTTAAAATTAATTTTATTCTTTTGGTATAGTTCCTTTGTCTGGGATCACATTGGGGAATGATCCATCTTTTAGACCATCAAGGAAATAATATAAAATCTAAAATGCTACAGGCACATACAGTAGCGGTCAATCAGATATCCATAGACTATAATGGAGATTTTATCGCCTCTTGCAGTGATGATGGAAAAGTTTTTATTTATGGACTGTATAGTACAGAAAACAATCATAATATGAGCATGGGTAGACTAGTCAAGAGTATAGCAATTGACCCAAATTATAAAAGTGGTAGTGGCAGAAGATTTATTACAGGTTTAATCTTCTCTCTTTAATCTTTTAAATTTTTATAGCATATATGATATCTTTTGGAATTTACAATAAAATTAATTTTTGAATTATTAACTAACTTTGAAATATAACTTTAATTTTTAATAAATAAATAAATATTTGTAACCCTTAGGCGATGACAAGTTAATTCTTTATGAAAAGACTTTTCTGGCTAGGATGAAGCCAACAGTGCTTTGTGAAGCAGAGGGTGGAGTCAGATCTGTTGCATGGTTCGGTCACTTTGTTGCATGGGCTTCTGATACTGGTGTGAGAGTTTATGATCTTGATGCTAGATGTTCATTAGGACTCATCAAGTGGTCCTGTACTGCAGAGTAAGCATCGCAGAAAAGTGTACATATCAGGGCTGGGCATTTGAAATACTTTTATTTGAATAACAGTATTTTGTATTTTGTATTTGAATAACACTATTGTATTTTGTACTTCAGCGTAGCACATAAAAGTATTTTATATATTTCATGTGGGCTTTGTATATTATTTCATGCAGAGTATCACCAGAACATTATAGGTGCAATTTGCAGTGGTCAGACGATAAGACACTATTGATTGGATGGGTAGACATTGTGCGCATCTGTCATATTAGGAAACGTACTATGCAAGAAATGGTCAATCGAGATTTGCCCGAATTTGTAGTGGATCCAGGTAATCAATAAAGTGTATTTATTCTTTTTTAAAATACCTTTTAATGCGGAAATATTGGAATGAGTCCAGACTAAATTAGCAAAAACGTATATTATAAACAAAATACTTAGAGATATATATAATTGTGAGTGATCTTGCTTTGATACATTGTAAAGAAATAGAATACATTTGTCAGCATAAATTTAAGTCAGTCTGTATTTGCGGTGTTTATAAAACAAACTTGAATTGCATTCGAAAATGCACACCAAGTATCTTCAAGTGTCATCCTATCACTGTTATTCATTGAATGTTAAACAAGGATAAATACTTGGAGACATTCGGTATATTTCTGAACACAGTCTTAGTTTATTTATCTTTTCGTGTTTAACCTTACAATGCTATTGCTATTGAATGAATAATTGTTATCAACACATAAATTTTACGTACAAAGAAATAGACCATTTTTATAACACAGTTTTAAAATACATTTTTAAAAACAAAATATTTCTAGATTTTTCTAAACACAAATAACCTAATTATTAATTTAAATGATGAAAAGAAAAAAGTAGCATATTATCAAATTCAATTGAAATAATATGGATTTTGTACTCCAATTGTACCTCCATATGTGCGACTTCTTATACAC